CCAGTCTGTTGCAGTCCAGTCCTTGTATCTTTTACAAAATATCAATCCATCCCTGATGTTTTTTTTCTGTAGAGAAATGGCTTCTTTGCTGCCCTTCTTGACACCAGGCCATCCTCCAAAAGTCTTCACCTCACTGTGCGTACAGATGCATTAGCACCTGCCTGTTGCCATTCCTGAGCAAGTGGTGCACCAATCCTGCAACTGAATCGATGGCCCTGGTGCTTGCTTGACTTTCTTTGGTGCCCTGAAGCCTTCTTGACATTAATTGAACCTCTTCTTGAAGTTCTTGATGATCTGATAAATGAATTAATTGCAATTAATCTAATCACTCTTCATAACATTCTGGAGTATATGCAAATTGCCGTCATGTGACCCCATCCTATGTGACATCAATGATGTCACCTGGGGTGGGGTCACTCGGGTGATGTCCCCGGGTGGCCCCGCCCCTTACATATTTAATAACTGTCAAACCACCGGAGCAGGCTGAAAGCTGGAAGCCATCGTTGGAAGCGGAGCCTTTTTTTTTTTGTTTCAATTCTTTTTTCGGGTTGGCAGCGGCAGTGACGGTGGGCATCGTAATTGACGTTGGATCTACTGTCCTTTTTTTTTCACTTTTTTACACTGTTTTTCGTGAATGAATATGGGGTACATGGTACCCCTACTCATTCACATAGTGGGGGTGTCTGGGATCTGGGGGCCACCTTGTTAAAGGGGGATTCCAGATTCCGATAAGCCCCTTGCCCGCAGACCCCCACAACCACCGGCCAGGGTTGTGGGGAAGAGGCCCTTGTCCCTATCAACATGAGGACAAGTTGCTTTGGGGGAGGGGAAGCCCCCCATTTTGAGAGCATGTGGCCTGGTATGGTTCGGGGGGGCGCTCGCTCGCCCTCCCCCCTTTCCTGACCTGCCGGGCTGCATGGGGGGGCCCCCATGACTTTTTTTTTTTTTTTTTTTTTTTTAATTTTGGCGTGGGAGTTCCCCTCAAAATCCATACCAGACCTGAAGGACTTGGGAGGGGGGGACCCCACGCCTTTTTTTAAAAATTTTATTATTGTGCCGGTTTTCAAATGTAATTATCGCTTTTTTTTTTTTTTTTTTTTCTTCACTATAGTTCAGAAATTCAGCTGTCACTTTACCCCAGCTAAAAGAAAGGAAAGTTTTTTTTTTTTTTTTTTTTTTTTTTTTTAACTCCCCAAGTTAAGAGAAACAATGTTTCCTTTTAGTTTCTTAAAAGAAACAAAGATTTAGTTAAATCCGGGAAAAGTGACAGTTCTGTGAGCTTTTAGTGAAGAAAAAAAAAAAGCGGCAATTGCATTTAAAAATCAGCACTGACATACACTTTGTTTGCGAAAAAAAATTTGTAAAAAACTTGTAAACCGAGGCATTATTTCCAATGGATTTTCATTTGTAAACCGAAAATAACATTATCTGAGGTGTTTGTAAACCAAGGTATTGCTGTATTATGTTCATAGAGGGCGCCCTGCCCAATATAGCAAAATTTGGGACCGTAGGTTACAAACTGTAGACTAAAATATATTGAATAACTCAAGTGCTAACTATGGTGAAATAAAACAAAAAATTACAATAAATTGCTGTAGCCGCTAGTGCACACAACCCATGTCTCAGTGGGGCAAATGATACGATCATTAAGTGAAGTGCAAAAATGCTGCTCTACATAAACCAATGGTACAAACCATTATATTACCAAAAAACAAAGTGAAAAAATAATTATTAGAAGAAAAAAATAGTTTTAAAAAAAAGATATCTGTATGTGTATGTGTGTGTGTGTGTGTGTGTGTGTGTGTACAGTATACACACACACACACACTATTAAAAATTAAGAATGATTTTAAGTATCAATCAAGTTCAATCAATAAAGTGTTCGTTCAGTGAACCCTCCTTTTGGATAACGAAAAATATGTGCATCTGTCATCAATTCCCGTTCAAAGACATCCTCCACCATATATCTGCTCACCTCACGCAGTGTGACTTCACATTTTACAATGTTATGGTTTAACTGCCCTTTTGGTCCCATATGGAAGATCAGCTTGCTGAATGAAGACTCCAAAGTAAGCTCCCTCCTGATGAGCGTCTTTGTATCAGCCGTATTCCTCATTAAAAAGAACTCGACATAGTGCTTTATCCTTTTAAACTTTTATTCATCAATTAAAACATATGAAATACACTCTCATTCCAGAGGTGTATTTTGCACCAGGTATGATGAAGATTCAATGATATACTGATTAAACACAAGATGGCAGTATCTCAGCAGCAGAGTCCTGTACAAGCTCAAAACAGACACCATCCATAATATGTTGCAAGGCAAAGCAGGGGCCCACTCAATGAATGTTCTTGCCTGCTGTAATGCCGTTTCAAGAGCCGTTTGTAGAGTACTACAGGCCACTATCCCGTGACATCATCCACAGATTAACTTTTTGTTGCTATTCTGTCTGTGTTTCAATACAACTACCATTTGATTTTTAGACTGATCATTTCTTTGTGAGTGGGCAAACATTCAAAATCGTCAGGGGATCAAATACTTATTTCCTTCACTGTACATCCAAAAGGACCACTTTTACCCTCCTTGGTCCAGTCAGCCTCAGGGTTCTTCCTGGGTAGTCCTAGCCTTAGCAAGATAGATTTTCTGTCCTGGTAGTCCTTCGGTACATAAAACTCCTCCCCCCCCCCCCCCCCCCCCCCCCCCCCCCGTCTTTCTCTTGGACCTTGTGGGATTGGGTGAATTTAATCTTTGGGGCTCATAGGCAGTTTACTTTGAACTTGTGTCACATTGAGCCTGTTTTTGTTTGTGTGCTTTTGCCTACCCCTCAGTTGCACTACTTTTTGATGTCCTGACAGTACATCATTTCCTATATCCTTCAGTGGACAAGAAAAAAAATAGGACTTTTATACTAATCATAAAATCCTTTTCTTGAAGTCAGTTGAGGGACACGGGTCCAACACTTTTGTGTTTTTATTTCATGCAGCTGCTACTGCTTGCCCCAAACTGAGGCAGCATTGGATTAAGAAGCTTATATTTAAACACAGCAACAAATCAACCTATAATGACCCAGAAAAGTTATCCACCTCCACCCTTGAAGGCTAATTAAACAAAATAATAAAACTTTTCCCTAAAACAAATAAATAACAATAAAATAAACAAAAAGATAGAATAAAACCCACATAAAGACATAAGACAATAAAAAATATCCCAAATATCCGAAATTCAAAAATAATAAATAATCCAAAGAAATGATAATCCAAAAAAATAATAATCCAAAAAAATAATCCAAAAAAAAATAATCCCCACAGGTGTAAATGGTAATTTTCTTTCTTCTTTCATCAAACACTCCTTCTCAATATCCGCAAATCCTGATGACAGTGCACCTCAAAAAGAGAAAACTTGACATAGTGTCATACCTTTTACATAATGCAACACACGTGCCACGCAGCATGCAAAAAAATCCTTTATAAATGTGTATACTCTATAGATGAGTATCTATACACATGCAAATATTCTATAGTGAATATAGATATAAGTCAAACACACTCATATAAAAAAGTGTAAAAAACACCATGTGTAAAAACAACTCCCAATTAGCACTGCAAGTGTGTATCTCAGTGATCCCCTGAAACCAAAACAACACTCTCCAACTCATATGCTGATGGGTAATTACCCTATATCAAAAACATCAGGGCAGGACACCACTCTGGGTTAATTTCTCCTCCAACCGATTATATCCAAATGCTAGGGTTATTCTTCCATTCACAAGAAAATCCACAGTCACAGTCTATAACATATCCTCCTTTATTAGTAACTCACATAAAATCTGGGTGAAAACAGCTCCTCCTCACAGGGATACAAGTGTGGACAGATTCAGGGAAACATTGGCCACATGTTCCCACTTCCAAGATGGCCGCGATCGCACTTCTGGTCAACGTCGATACGTCTGACGTCACGTGTCACTGACGCGTTTCGTTCACTTGACTTTTTCAGAAGGGTTATTTTGTTTATTGGATTAAGAAGGGTTGTCCTGGTTGGCCTGGCCTTTCCTGTTTGCAGCAGTATAACCCAATAATGCTTCAAATTGTATTTGCAAATACTCTAAAGCCGAGCATATAAGAGAAGTTCATTGTATGGGCTTATGTACACTTAAATATTGTGATCTCTTCCTGCAAGAACAAGGGTTTTGATATCAATAACAATTCATCCCTCTTAAAGTGTATTTAAATCCAAAACCAAAAATGTATATGTTGCACTATATTAGTCCTTGATTGCATTTGATCTTTTTTTTTTTTTTTTTTAAAGCTTCTTTTGTTTTATTTGCACCTGGTGATTCTGCAAATTACAAACTTCCTGTCCTTTATCTGTTCAGAGAGCCCTGGTTGTAACCCTTGGCTGCTACCTTGATATGGATTACAAACATGTCCACATCTCCTCATCTGTTAAAAGGGGACAGGGTAACTTGTCGTTTCCAGGTGATAGCTAGGAAGGAAGATATTCTTTGGTGCAGCTCATAGGAAGTGGAAAGGACACTGCATGTCTGGCAAAGGCAATAGGTATTTTCTGTACTTGCTAAAAATGTTCTTAGCCTGTAAAAAGAAAACAATGTAGCTACATCATCTGAGGACTGTAAGCTGCAACATGTTGTATTTTTTTTTTCTTGGATTTTTTTTTTCCTTTTAAGTTGACCATACTCTGTACAATGTGATTGTACAATGTCTGTACTATATGCTTTAGCTTTACTAAAACTATGTAATAGGGATACCTACCTAAACCATTCTTTCAAATACTTAACTAATTATTTCAATCAGACAGGCCCGTACACTGTATAGTTGATGGAAGGTCTAAAGAAGAATGTACAGTCAGATTGTATAGTGTATGGTCAGCCGTAAAGTTCATATTTGTTTTTGATTAGCTTTTAGTTTTTAATTTTTTTTTTACGCTACCTTTCTTATATTCTTGTCTAAAGTTAAGTTAAATTGCAATGTTCTTTTTGCAGGGTCTAAAAACATCTGTTAATTATAGCATTCGGGCAGTGGATGACCGTTTGGCTAAACAAGATGACCTTAGGAAAAAAAAGGCAAGTTATATAGCTTTTAAATTGATTAGAGTATCAGATTCAGCGAGTATTTTTAAAGAATTTAGGAGATTTTTTGAAGCTCCCAAAGGAACACTGTACTTGCAGTACTGTACAGTTATCTTTTATTTAGTGCCCAATACCCTATGTCCCCCAACCTTGGTAACTCCTTCCATGTCTCATACCTGCCTATCCTGCTATGTCGATATCTTGATACTGTACACCCCCTCTTCCAAATTCTCCAAACGTTCCCATGTGTTTGAATTGTGGGCTTCATGGTGATGGATGGGCTTTACCAAGGAATGAATGGAGATTCTCTTGCACGTGTAGAGGAAAAGCAGAGCCTCATGGGGAGTATATTGAAGAAGTTGTGCAGCAGCAGCTGGAACTACACAAAGTAGTTTTTGTCTAATGAGAACAGATCGGATTCTACAGTTACAGCTGCCCTTTAAAGTGGTTCTAAAGCTGAAACATGGTTTACGTTAATTTATTCCCTGCAAAAAAAAGTTTAGTAAGCAGATTTTACCCCTCACCCCCCCAATACTTAGTCCTCACTCGATCCAAAAATGTCCCTGGCTGCTGTTTCTCTCCTCTCTCCCTCTTCACACAGGGACTGACAGGCAGCAGCTGGAGCCAATGGCTCCCATTGCTGTCTCTGAGCCAATAAGGAGGTAGGGAATTAGGAGAACCGCTGCTCTCGTGCAAATTGCTAGATCAAGATCGGGCTCAGAAGTATTAGGCAGGGCTGGGAGGCACAGCAGCACACAGAAGGTTTTTTTACCTTCATAGAATACATGAAGGTGAAAAAACCTTCAGCCTTTAGAACCACTGTTAATATGTTGGCCTAATTTTTACTTTTTTATTTCGTTGTATACATTTTACCTGAAGGCTGAGGATACCCCTTTGGGTGGTAATCGTAGAGATATCATATCTCTTTTTATGCTGATATAAAAGGTCTAAATAGATGCCTGATGTTTCCAACATATTCTTGAGAAAATTTATAAAGAACACAAAATCCCCATTGTCTTTCAACACACAGTGTAACAGTTATCCTCAGTTCCCACTACTGTGACCTGAAAGTTGTGCGTCTTTGCCAGGGCATTGCCAGCCAGTTTGCTGGTGACGTGTCTTTGGTGCTGGTGACGACTTTTAATGCGACTTTCATGCCTTGCAACTGGCACAAGTCAGATAGAAGTCACCTTGAAGTAGTATATGAACCTTTTTTACAGTCAGAACGACTTCAGTAGTGCTAATTAAGACAGCTGTCATTGATTATCATGGAATTTCACATGTCATGTGACTTTGGGTCTCACAAGTCGGATCCCAAGTCACGGCAGTATGAACCGAGCATTAGCATGAACCTATAAGAGCACTCCTGGTTCTCTGAGTTGCAAGGAGGTTGATGATCATGTATAGTATGTACACTGATCTCCCTCCTTAACTTCTTGAGGTGAAATGATGAAAATGAAGCAGGTAGCAGGAGAGTATGATCACACTGATCACTTTTACTAAAAGCACAGAGAGCCAGTTTAAAGGAGAAGTTCACCTTTTGAAAAAAAAAATAATATATGCACATTTTTTTGCAGGCAAGAATGTGCTTTTTAAAAAAATTTTCCAAGGAGAGTGCAAACATTGCACCCTTGATCAGCAGATCACAGGTGTAATGCCAGACTCCTGCAGACTCTCTGGATAGCTGTCTGCCCTCGTACGGGCAAGGAGTACTTGAGTGCAGGAAGATCAATGAAATACGAGAGTGATCACCAGCGCCCTCTTAGTTCATTGAGAGCTGCAAACCATCAGTCACAATGGCTGACGGTACTTGTAGTCTATTCACAGGAAATCCTGAATGAATGATGTGGCCGTGTGGGCAGAGTCCCGCATGGCCGTGCTGTTTTCAAACTGTAACAGCGGGTGCGGGGAGGTTCCCCCTCCCACTGTCACAGGGAGTGGGAAGATCAGGGGGAGAGGGGGTCAATGTTGAATGTGTTACACCCTAAATACGGGTGTAACGTGTTCAGAATGGTAAACTTAGCCTTTAAATGTATAACCAGTCCATGGATCCTACTGTAGCCTCCAAGTTTTTGTTTTTTTTTTTGTTTGTTTTTTTTTTTACCTTTGATTTGTGAGAGGTAAAGCCCTGGCATATGGCCCAAATCCTTGGTAATCAAGGGATTACAACTGTTTAATTGTGTTTTTCAAGTATCTCGATAGGTCTTTATAAAAGCTATTGCAAATTCCATGTAATGTGTGATTATAGGAGTAAAAGATGTCCTTATCAATGTGCTGCAGCTGCTTTGTTGTCCATTTACAACTAAATTGTTGTTCTTAAAGTGTATTTCAAGCCAAAAAGGTTTTTACTAGTTTTTGATAGGGTGGGGGCTCCTGTCAGGTTTTTACTGATATCCAGGACTTCATTATAATGTTTTCCTCTTTCTTCCTGTCCTGCTGAGAAAGGTTTCACTAGTTTTGTTTACATGATCAGTCCCATTCTAGAAAGAACTTGACTAGGTTAGGTGTAGCTGCATTTGCTGCTGACTGATTTCTTATTTTCTACTCTCCTCTCCTATTTTCTGCACTCCATATGTATTTCCTTTTTGTAGCACTTTTGAAATTCTAACACAATTTTATTTTATTGCAGATGTGTGTCCTAAGGATGATACGCGTAATTCACTCAGTTGAAAAAATTGAAAAAATTTTGCTGTCCCACAATTGCAAAACTAATACAGAGCTGAACAGGTGAGATTTTATAAAAGGGCCCTTTTGCACTGATTTTTTTTCCCTGTGCTTCTACCCCTTTTAAAAGCGCAAGAAAAAACGCAATCAAAATATTTCCCTTTTAAGTCCTATGGGACTCTTCACACCAGTGTGCTGCAGGTGAAGAGCGTTTTTGAAAAGTCCTGCATGTTGTGTCTTTGGTGCACTGTTTCAAAAGCGCATCAAAACGCACCTCAAATTAAAATAAATTCAAAATGCCTAAAAAAAAATGCACCTCCGTTGCATATTTGGTGCACTTTTTGAGCCACTTGTCCATGTTTCACAGGTGCAGGATTGGAGTCAGGCAACCAGAAAATGCACCAACAAAATGAAGAAAAAATTCTGGATGTACCCTCTGCACACTGCTATATACCCTTTATAGCTAACTTTGCAATGAAAAAAACTGTGATTTTTACTGCTACAGGATGGCATTGCTGTGCAAAATCACATATATAAACGTCGTCGTGCACTTCTGCCTCACAGGGGCAAATCTTCAGCTATGAACTGTCACCGCACAAAACAATCTGCAAACCCTGCAGATTGTCGGTCAGGGAGGAAGAACAGAGCTATGGCCATGTTTACATAGCCATAGCACTGTTGTGACAGGGTAAAGTCGTGAATCATGTTTCTCTGTAGAGCTGAAAACACGATCCATCACTTCCCATAGCAAAAGCATCACCTAATGTACACCAAGCACATAGCTAGGCACACATTTGACACTTTGATCACCCGAGATGTTAACCCCTCTTCAGCCAGTATCCTTAGTAGTGCCAGTGCTTATTTTAGCACTGATCACTGTATTACTGTCACTGGTTCCCACAAAATGTGTAAAAATGTCTGCTTTTCGCAGGCCGTTTTTAAGTCGCTCATCGCCACCAATACTAATATATATATATATATATATATATATATATATATATATATATATAAAAAAAAATTTCCAGTGTATGTACCATAGTTTTGTAGATGCTATAACCTTTGTGCAAACTAATCGATATACAATTTATGGGATTTTTTTTTTTTTTTTTACAAAAAGATGTAACAGAATACATTTTGGTCTAAATTTATTAAGAAATGTGATTTTTTTTTTTTTTTGATTTTTTTTTTTTATTGGATATGTTTTACAGTTGAAAATAAAAAATATAATTTTTTCAAAATAGAGAAAAGCTCTGTTTGTGGGGGAAAAAAAAAACATCAATTTAATTTGGATACTGCATTGCATGACCGTGCAATTGTCAGTTAAAGTAACTCAGGGCCGTATCGCAAAATATGGCCTGGTCAGGAAGGGGGTAAATCTTCTGGAGGTCAAGTGGTTAAGATGGCCAACTGCAGCAAATTAACCCCAAATGGCCAGTTCCTAACCTACTCTGCAAAATGGAAATGCCACAGTGGATATAGTGCCAATATGGGGCAAATAGACACAAGTTAGAGGAGAGGTACAGGTTCAGGTCTGGCCCCTGACCTGCAGTGCAATAGAAACAAGTTAGAGGAGAGCTACATATGCATTTCTTATTCCCTCTTCATTCTCACACATTGAGAATGGGATTTACTGAAACTGGGGCACATAGAATCTGGTGCAGCTGTACATACAGTAGTAACTACTCTGCTTCTAACAGCTAGTTCAATTAATTAATACAGGCCATAGACGGGTCGTTTATCGGCTGAATTTTCGGCCGATAAACGAAAAATCGGTCATTGCTGGCAGCGATGCTGCCACCAATGTCCACAAAAAAAGGCCGTTTTCCGAGGATTTTCCAGCATGACCGATAAAAGTAAACGAGAAGATCCGCGAAAAACGGTCAACGGTATTGCCCCACTAACGCCGTGAATATCGGCTGATTTTTTTGTGTGGACGAAAATTCGGCCAATAAACGACCCGTCTATGGCCTGCATAAGCTTTGACAAAAACTAGAAGATGATTGGTTACTATGCACAGCTGCACCAGATTCTGTCTAATTTTTTCACTTAGGCCATGTTTTGACTAACTGGTTTATTCATTAATAATGTGCATTTCTTCTGTCTTCCACCTGTTCAAGTGGTTCTAAGCCCTGATTCACACAGATCAGTGTTTGATGCGTCTTGAACTGCAGGATTTGCATGACATGAGAAAAAAATGCGTGTAGCTGTGCGATCAGAACTTGAGGTCCATATAGTTGAACAGGAACCTTATGGGAAACGGTTATGTGTTTAGATGTATGAAACTTCAGCGCAGTCACTGTAAAGAAGTCTATAGTGCTACCACTCTAATCAAAGTGCTATATAGTAAATATGGCTATTATGACCATAAATCAAAGTGCATGGGTGCTTATATATTAAAAAAATAAAAGCATCTAAATGTATAGACTAGTCTCCTTACTGCTTCTGTCACTTCTTGTGTTCCCGCAAGTGAAAATTATATAAATAAACCTCTGACAGTGTTGCGCAGTATAAAGTGCATTAATCCCTTTTAAAATATCAAGTGCGTTGTTCTAACAAACGTGCGTATGCAATATGTCACATATATCAAAATAAACATGATCAAATAAATATCCAAATATGATCAAAGTTCCAAATGTCAGTATGAAATAAAATTTCCACAATAGTCCTTATATATGTGCAAAATCTCGGTTCTTTAATGCATTTATACATTCTCCACTCTTAACTTATCGCCACATGCATCTCTCCCATCACCTATTTTTATATGCTCTTACCTTGATGCTTTGACCCAAATTTAGTTCTCATGCACTTTCCCCTTATAATGGGGTCTCCTTTATCATGGTTGCTCTCTCCTTCTCCTCTCCACTGGTGACTTCAGTCCACCTCCAGTCTCCACAATCCCATGGTATATACTTAGGATTCTCTCAAATAATAAGATATATAGTGCTTTCCATGTGAGTAACAATATTTTATTAAAAGAATAAATTATACTCAACCTATAAAGTACACTATAACTAGCGTACTTCAGAATCCAAATTCATAGTATGGGTGATCTCCAACAAGTTTTGTTGGAGGTCGTCCATACTATGAATCTGGATACTGAAGTGAGTCTTTCATAGGTGTACCCTGTGTTACTGACCAGCTTGAGAGAGAGTCCAAAATCTCAACTCTATTAAAAACACATTGGTATTCCATCTGAATCGCAGGTGAAACAGACTGCAGTTGCTAACTGAATTGCACTAGAACCCTGAACAAATTTGCACCGCTTATATGTGAACCTAGCCCTAAAGGCTTAAACTTTTTTATATTAATGCATTATCTGCTTTAATGTAAATTCTGTTTGGATTTCCCCCTCATAGTTACCTGAACCTGATCTGGATCCAGAGCATTATTATTATTATTATTATTTATATCGAGTTTATATAGCGCCAAAGGGTTTGCTCAGCGCTGTACAATAGAGGGGCGGGACAATACATGAAACCGTACAGCAACAACAAACCGCACACGAGGGGTTAGAGGGCCCTACTCTTTCGAGCTTACAATCTAGGAGGGAGGGGGTAGTGGTACAGGAGGAAGTGGCTGTGGGGGATGGAGTGGTAGGAGGAATGAAGGCGGACGGCTGTTAGGTAAAGGTAGGGTACCTGAGACCTGCAGCTCTCTTCACTTTCTCTTTTCTCACAGGACAAAGATGCGGCAGCAGCTGAAGCCATTGGCTCCTGTGACTGTTAATCAAATCCTGTTAGGAGGAAATGGGGGGGGGGGGGGGCAAGTTGTGCTGTCTGTGTCTACGGACACAGGCAGTGCGCTCAGGATCGAGCTCACTCAAGTGCCCCCATACAAGCAGCTCACTGATGAGGGGTAGCCGGGAACATCAGTGGGGCCACTGGAAGAGGAGGATCGGTCCTGCTCTGTGCAAAATAATAGCACAGAGCAGGTAGGTATGACATTTTTATTATTTTAAAAATCACTATAAAAATAATTCAAGCAAACTGGTTTATGTGAGCAGCAGGAAATGTTCTTGTTGGCATGATGTCTTTTGGGTTTTAGCCTTGAAATGTGGGTTTTTGCTTGGGTTTGAGTACACAGAAAATTAGCGGAGGCAGTAAATATTTACAGCGGTGTCCTGCTTTCACCAGCCCTCTTCTCTCCCCGGCATCTTCAGTGTGGGCACCCAGCTGTGACAGCTTGCGGCTTAACAGCCCGGTGCCCACTGCGCATGAGCAAGAAGCGCTGCACTTTGTGAATGACCCCATTGTCTTGTGGGACCTATCACATGTCCCATGAGACTACAGGTAGGGGGGGGGGGGGGGGGAGGACAACTGCACAAAAGTAGGAGCGGGTACCTGTCAAATTTCTCCTCTAAAATCTAGTTGTCTTATGATCCGGTGCGTCTTATGGAGCGAAAAATACTGTTCTTTTTTATGAAAGGTTGCCTAGCAGTCATGCTCACCCTCTTGCTTTAAATCTTTGAGTTAAAAACCTTGAACAAGTAAGTAGGTAGAGATGGCTTTCCTGATCAGCTTATTTGTTTGGGGTCAGCGACTCCCCTCGATTAAAAAATGTAAGCTAGTAGGTCAGTATAACTGCTGTAGCATTTTTAGGAATAGTTCAGCAATGGCTGTCCCTGTATTTGACATGACAAAAAAGGCAAGCCAACATATTTGGTAATTATGTTGTAATTCTCTGTATATTTTAAGCTACATCAGTATTCATAAGATGTTTTTATTTCATATTTTTGTTTTATAAGCACACATTGCTCACTGGGCAGATCCTGGAAAGAATAGCAACAGAATTTAACCAGCTGCAGTTTCATGCAGTGCAGAGCAAAGGAATGCCTCTTTTGGACAAAGTGAGACCAGTAAGTATAGCACTCATTGCTCCATTATTCATTTGTTACTATCATTTTATATCAGTAAATTCAGAACCTTCTTATCCATATTGTATATGCAATAACCAACTGAAACCGCCATTATCCTCTATTGAGCGGCGAGTGTAAACGGACATGCATCGGCTTAAACCCTCCTACATCCAATCTGATCCGTTAAGAACAAACGGATGGAGATCCTTTCCCCTCCATCTGGCTGGATCAGATGGCAGTCAGGTGTAAACGGATAGGTTGTCCGTTTTACATCCGACCACCCATAGAGGAGAACAGGCTGTGTCTGTGTCCGCTCTGCGTAAGTGGAGCAGACATGATCATGCCCTTTGCCTGCTTAGCGGGCATCAGCAAACGGATCCCCTGCTGAGCCAGCAAATTGCAGAGTCCGCCTCATGTGAAAAGGGCCTAAGGAAAGCAGGAAGATATAAATGGCTTATGGTTAGTTTCCTTTTTTAAAACCATGCTCTACTTTTTAATATGAGGAGTTACAATTATAATATACTAATTTGATTGCAATGTTTTTCTGTTTTTATAGCGTATTGCTGGAATAACGGCAATGTTACAGCGCTCCTTAGAAAGTCTCCTTTTGGAAGGACTTCAGACCTCAAATGTGGATATAATCCGTCACTGTTTGCGAACATATGCTACGATTGACAAAACAAAAGATGCAGAAGCTCTTGTTGGGCAGATTTTGGTGAAACCTTACATTGATGAGGTATGCCTGTATCCAGCCCATAATACAACAGTATGGTTTAAACAACATGAAGCCGTAAAAAAGATTTACAACATTGAATGGTACAGCACTATTATAACACTGTTATTTAACAAAGAGAAAACGGGCCTCCTCGTTGTCAGATTGTTTCACATCATAGGAGATATCCGAAATGGGCCACCTGCTTTTTCTGCAATGTTATTGTTCGCATATAAGGCAAATGTGTACCTATTTCTGAATAGATTAAATTACCGGTAGAATTGTTTTGGCCACACACTAGAATGCATTACTGTATCGGGTAGGGAGAACATAGAATGTCATCAAAGGGAAAAAAAAGCGGCAGTGAAATATCATAGAATTGCTAGAGTATTATCTGATCATGGACAATTGGGGAAAAAATGGAGTGCAGGTAAGCAAGTTTGGGGGTATAAAGGGGAGGATTACTGTGTCTCAGAGGAAAGGAGGTTGACAAGGAGCTGGCCATGTACAAGACAGAAAGGAAGCAGATTGATAACTGATTGCTATAGACTAGAGGTGAGAAATAAATGGCAGTTGATCATGATCAACTGAAAGAGTTATTCAGTTGTATGAATAGTGGAGCAGCTGTTTGCAGCGGACATGACTTCCTTCTGACAATATAAAGCACATAGCCATAGGGGCATTTATAAAATGTCAAGTGGCCTTTTATTTCTGCTTGTGAATTTGGCTGTTATGGCCATCAAGGCACAGTATGGACAGTGTTCCAAGACATTTTGCTACCGGAAAAAATAGCATTGTTGAAAACGGGTACAAATGCCAGAAATGCTGGAACACAAAGCTGTGATAGTAGTAGCCACCAGATTTTGAGCTGAACTACTTTTTAAATAAGAAAGGTTGGGAGCGCAGGTTTTGTTGAAAGCCATATTTGGCACTTTTTTTGGGGTTGGGGGGGGGGGGGAGCCGATACCTTGTTTTGACAGGTACCTGCTCCCACTTCTGGCTTAGTTTGCCGCGTTGAAGTTCCCCTCCTTCCTCCCGCTGTCTTCTGGGACACTTAACAGGTCCCAGAAGACTGCAGGACCAATCGGGATGTGCAGTAGGCACCGCAGTAGGCACCTGGTTGTGAAGCTGTAAGCTGTCACAGCCTGCTGCCCAGTTGAGATGCTGGTACCAAGGAGAGAACAGGGAGAGAAGGTATCATTTCAGAACTTTTTCCACTGTTAATTTGACTTATAAACTGTACAACTCAGTTGAAAAACACACTGAAATCTTCTTTTTTTTATTTTTTTATTTTTTTTGGGGGGGAGTAAATATAAAAAACTATAATTAATGTGGTTGCATAAGTGTGCACACCCTCTCATAACTGGGGATGTAGCTGTGTTCAGAATTAAGCAATCACATTCAAAATCATGTTAAATAGGAGTCAGTACACACCTGCCAACATTTGATTCCACTGATTCACCCCAAATAAAGTTCAGCTGTTCTAGTAGGTCTTTCATGACATTTTCTTAGTAGCATCCTACAGCAAAAGCCATGGTCCGCAAAGAGCTTCCAAAGCATCAGAGGGATCTCATTGTTAAAAGGTATCCATCAGGAGAAGGGTACACAAGAATTTCCAAGGCATTTAGATATACCATGGAACACAGTGAAGACCGTCATCAAGTGGAAAGACCATGGTGCAACAGCGACATTACCAAAAACTGGATGTCCCTCCAAAATTGATGAAAACATGAGAAGAAAACTAGTCTGGGAGGCTGCCAAGAGGCTTACAGAAACATTAAAGGAGCTGCAGGAATATCTGGCAAGTACTGGCTGTGTGGGACATGTGACAACAATCTCATGTATTCTTCATCTGTCTGGACCATGGGGAAGAGTGGCAAGTCGGAAGCCTTTTCTTACGAAGAAAAACATCTAAGCCCGGCTAAATTTTGCAGAAAACACATCTCAAATCTCCCAAAAGCATGTGGGAAAATGTGTTCTGGTCTGATGAAACCAAGGTTTAACTTTTGGTCATAATTCCAAAAGATATGTTTGGAGCAAAAACACTGCAAATTACCAAAAGAATACCATACCGACAGTGAAGCATGGTGATGACAGCATCATGCTTTGGGGCTGTTTTTTTTTCAGCTGGAACTGAGGCCTTAGACAAGGTAGAGGGAATTATGAACAGTTACAAATACCAGTCAATATTGGCACAAAACCTTCAGGCTTCTGCTAGAAAGCTGAACATGAAGAGTAACTTCATATTTCAGCATGACAACGACCCAAAGCATACATTCAAATTAAAGGAATGGATTCACCAGAAGATGATTAAAGTTTTGGAATGGCCCAGCCAGAGGCCCAGACCTGAATCCAATCAAAAATCTGTGGGGTGATCTGAAGAGGGCTGTGCACAGGAGATGCCCTTGCAATCTGAAAGATTTGGAGTGTTTTTGCAAGGAAGAGTGGGCAAATATTGCCAAGTTCAGATGTTCCATGCTGATAGACTCATACCCAAAAAGACTGAGTGCTGTAATAACATCAAAAGGGGCTTCAACAAAGTATTAGTTTAACCACTTCAAGCCCGGACACTTTTACCCCCTTCCTGTCCAGGCCAATTTTTTTATTAACGGCAACCCGCCCCTGGACTGTCGCCGTTTATATACAGCGGCCGGGCGGAAAGTGGTTAAGGGTGTGCACACCTATGCAACCATATTATTTTAGTTTATTTTTACTTCCCTCCACCTAAAAGATTTCAGTTTGTTGTTCAACTGAGTTGTACAGTTTATTAGGATACATTAAAGGTGGAAAAAGTTCTGAAATTATTTATCTTTGTCTCATTTTTTTACATCGCAGAAATGTGACATTTTAACAGGAGTGTGTAGACTTTTTAGTGTGTGTGTGTGTGTGTGTGTGTAACTAATACACACACTCTACTCCAATTAAATATAATGCCTAAGCCAAAATTCATGTGCTCATAATGGCGCCTGAACGCCAATTAGCCCATCCGCACCTGACATTGGGCTTTGCCCCCGATACATCGGTGCGCAGCATCGCCCCTGCACGTGGTGCAAGATGACATCAAGCATCGCTGACACGCAACCAAGGTGGCCACCGACCAGGAGAGATGCAGTGGTAAGCCCACGATGGAAGGCATCTTAGAACTAAAGGCCGCACTCATTAGGCACAAAGGCACAGTGCCCGGGCACTACATGAAGGAGCCCAATCAGAACCGGGTTCGATTCCCACCACCGTGCAGGCAGGAGTGGGACAGCAGACCACAACCATATTGGCGTACATAATATTACAATTGCGCAAAATGGCAGAGCAGAAGGAGAACAGTGATTATATAGTATATACAGAACAATAATGTTATAATATTAATAATGTCATATGTGAATAATATTTTATTGTATTATTTTGTATGTAATATATAGTGTTTGCTTTTCTGTCCTGCTTAAATCTATCCTTATAGCCTCGTGTTCCAAATGGTCTGGGATGGAATAAATGCCTCTTTCGATGTGAATAACATTATTCTGTATATACTGTACAATCACTGTTCTTCTCCTTGTGTCTTCCCTCCCCTCAAATGTTTATAGCCTGCTCTGTTTCTCGTGGTGTAAAATAAAGAAAATTTGTTTTTTTTTTTTTCTACATACTTGCCTATAAAATCTGTTTCTTGGAGTGCATCACGGAACACCGAAGTCCTTCCCCCTCTTTCTGAATTTCATTGCTGGCTAGAAAACTGAAGTACTTTCTGTATAGGAGGGGTTATATAGATCTGTTTGATCTGCCAGTGTCCATTCACTTATAGGTGGCCCATAACCCAGATAGTAATGATTATAGCCTGCTTTGTGTCCCATGTTGTACTCCAAGAAATGGATTTTACAGGTACTTATGTAGAAAAAAATAATTTTTTTTCAGCCAGATTAACTATGTGACAGTTTAAAAGGAACCTGTCCAATCAGAAATATGAAAGCTGCTATCGCTAATTTGTTTGAAGACGCATGCTGCAGAGCTGCTTTCCTCATAGTTCCTTACCTACTTGATGAATCAATGGCCACTGATGCTGTCAAGTGTAAAGATATGCACTTGCTGCACGTTAATGACTCCCTAAGTAGTAAAGCAAACCTGACAGTAACTGCCATGGAGCATGCACTAAAAAAAAAATCAGGAATTTTACAGTGCTTATATTTCTGTCCTGAAATGTCTCTGTTCGAGCTTGATTGCGGGGGGAGGAGCTGGAGTATGGCGCTGTACGGGAGATCGGCAGAAGATCTCCGATCCCAGGCTCCCCCAGCATCCAGCTAATAGGTCGTTATGACCTATAGATAGCCAGGTAGGAGGAGGGGGATTTGCCTGCTGCCGGGTCCCGTGGGAGAGCTCCGGCACTCGTGTGCCTTCGGTCTGCTGGGAGGTGTGCTGGAGGGAGCTGGAGCCGAAGGGCGGAGAGTCCTGGATTGCCGGGAAATGGAGGACACTGGGCGGTCATGTGACCAGCTGCAGGGAAGCCCAACGAGGAGAGAAACACCGGCTGGTATAGGAGAGGACATGCAGCTTTGATTTCCTCTCTCCCCACTGTCTCCCTCACCCTCACAGATTGACTTCTCCCTGGTACTGCTAAGGAAGCCAGAGTTCAATGATAAGGGAGACAAGTGTTGGGGAACCCCATCTTGGAATTCCTGATTATCTGGAGGGACCCTTTATTGCAACCCCTCTGCCGATGAGACTGTGAGAAGCCACCCCCCACCAGAAGTGGAGAAGTGAGTGTCAAATGGGTGAGTGTGAGTGGCTGAAGAGAATGGACTGTAATAGATGTCAAGCATTATATTGAAAAATGATGTAAATACGGATGGATAAAGGGGTAAGGGTTGCATCTGGGGGTCACTACAGGGACTAAAGAGGGTCTTATATCTAAATATATAAAGAACGCTAACTCTTGCAGGGGGTCAATGAGGGGGATAGGTGGAAAGGAGAAGCGGAAGATTTAAAGGAAGAGGGGACTATTGAACCTGTGAGATATTGGATATATCCAATAGCGTTCC